TCATTTGTGAAAATTTCAAATGGTTTTCCAACATCAAGGTAGCCAATCAATGAAGTTCTCTCCTTCTCCAACGATATCTCATCTTAGATCTGGGTTTCTAGCAGCTCTCTAATGCTAAACACAAAATCTAGTTGGAGTTCAACTATCTTTTGGCACTCATTTTTCAATTCCTGACAACGATTTCATCTTTAGCAAGGGATTTGACAAGGTCGATGTCCTGCGTCGACGAACATCCTCACCGGAATCGGAATAGGAGAGAAAATCAAAGGGAGAGAGTGAATTTTGGGAGAAGACGATGAGGGGTAGAAACGTAAAAGACGATCTTATCCTCCTTAATCCCATGGGGGGTGATGGGATATTTTTTAGGTTTAAGTACCATTTTGGTCCCTCAACTTTTCACTTTGATACTAAAATTGTCCTTCACTTTTAAAAAGTATCAAAATTATCTTTAAACTTTCATTTTCAGTACCAAAATAGTCCTTCTGTCAGTTAAATGACAGGTGGCACGTTATCTTGCCACAAAATCACTTAAACTTTTTAATTTTAATTACATGTAATTCCAGGTAAGAAAATTTAATATTTTTTTATTTCATAATTTTTCAAAAAAAAAAAACTTCATTTTCTTTCTTATTCTTTTCTCTCTCTTATCGATTTTTCTTCTTCTCCAAAACAAACAAACACAGATTTGCCCATTGATGGAAACTCATTAAGTGGAGATTGCTTTGGTTTTTTCGTGAGCCTCCATGCTTTCTTCCACTCATTAGTTTTAGCTGCTGTTGTTGCTGTTTCTTTAGTAAAACAAACATAGCTTTGGGTTTGTCTCAAGCCCTAATCTGGGTTTGAGACAAACCCAGATCGGGGCTTGAGACTACATTTCTCCATCCACCTTTGCTTCTCTCCTCACTCGCCATTTCTCCTTTGAATCAATGGATACTGTTGTGAAGAAGAGCTTGAAGCCTGGCGTCATGGCCCTCGCACGGCTCTGCAACAACAACGGTTGGTATGCGCCGTCGCAGGCTCACTGTAGGCTCGGCCGCATCGAGATCTGGCTCTGCCAGCTCTGACTCCGGCAATAACATGCGTCGGGATCTAGCTCACTTCAGACTCAGACAACAAGTTAGCCACTGATGAGAGCTTCATTTTTGTTCTATTTTTTTGAACTCTTGTGGTTTTTGTTCTATTTTTTCGAACTCGTGGTTTTTGTTTTGTTTTTTCAAACTCTTGTGGTTGATTTCTAGTCTTGATTTTGCTATTTTTCTTTGTCTTGATGGAACTGGAGCTAGAATTTTTTGTTCTCTTTAAACCAATGCTCGTTGGTTTCTGTGTTGATTTCGCTGGCATTTTAGGTTTTGGTTTGCTACATATCAAGTCTCCGGTGGTTCAGTACTATTTCTTTTTTATTTATTTGCATCAATGTGAGTTGACTTGGTTTGATGAAATTCGAATATGTATTTGAGGTTTTTTTTTTTAGACTATGATTTAGTTTCTCTTTGTTGCGTTTCAATGGTGTCAGAGGAGTCATTTGGGTTTGAGAAAAACCAAGATCTGGGTTTGATTTTGAGAGGAAGAGGAAGGGACAAGAGAGAGAGAAAGTGAAAGAGGAAGAAGAGATGACATGGAGGTTTTATTGTTAGACTGTGATTTAGTTTCTCTTTTGTTGCGTTTTAGTGGTATCGAAGGAGTCATTTGAGTTGAAGAAAAACCCAGATCTGGGTTTGATTTGGAGAGGAAGAAGAAGCGACAAGAAAGAGAAAGTGAAAGAGGAAGAGGAGATGACATGGATGGAAAAAAAAAAAATTCATTATTTTTAAATAAAATAAAATAAAATCCGAACTCATAAAAAAAAAGGTGCCATGTCATTAGTTAAGAAAAAAAATGATTTGCTAGCAAGTTAACGTGCCACATGTTCATTTAACTGACGAAAGGACGGTTTTGGTACCGAAAATGAAAGTTTAAGGATAACTTTGGTACTTTTTAAAGGTGAGGGATAATTTTGGTACCAAAGTGAAAAGTTAAGGGACCAAAATGGTACTTAGACCTATTTTTTATTGAAGGACGATGGAATTGGATAAAACATAGGATTTGAAGTATCCCATCCTCTGGCATCCCAAACGTGGGATACAATGAGACAAGACAAAGTTTGTGTCCTATACTCCTATCTAACGTTTTATCCATCCCTCCAAACATGCTCTTAATGAATTTAATATGGATTTTCATTTTCTTCTTAAAGGCAAAAATGAAAAGAAAAGAAAAGAAAAGAAAAACAAATTCACCATCTTACAGTTTAGATTATAAAAAAATATTCTTAAAATGAGAAGAAAATTTTAATATTAAGGAGCTCACTTTTTATATAATACTTTATATTTTAGGTTTAAATATCATTTTGGTCCCTCAACTTTTCACTTTAGCACCAAAATTGTCCCTCACCTTTAAAAAGTATCAAAATTATCCTTAAACTTTCATTTTTTGTACCAAAATGGTCCTTCCGTCAGTTAAATAACAGGTGGCACGTTAAAATGCCAGCAAATCAATCCTGTTTTTTTCTTAATCAATGACATGGAAAAAAAATATATAGTTGGCCATTTTTTTTAAGAGTTGGCATTTTTATTTAATTTAAAAGTAATAATTCTTTTTTTTTTTTCACCCACGTCAGATTTCTTCTTCCTCTTCTTCCTTTCTCCTTCTTCTTCCTTTCTTAAACCCAGATTTGGGTTTTTCTCAAACCCAGGAAAAAAAAAATAATGCATTACTTTCGCTCATTCTTTTTCTTATTCTCTCTCTTTCTTCTCCTTTCTTCTTTCTTTCTCAAACTCAAATTTGGGTTTTTCTCTCAAACCCAGATCTGGGTTTCATCACATAAATTAATGATCTAATGAAGCTGATGATAATAAAAAAAGCAATACAAATCATTCCATTATATTAAACAAGGCACATCTGCGGAAAAGTTGCCATATCATCTCTTCTTCCTCTTTCACTTTCTCTCTCTTGTTCCTTCTTCTTCCTCTCCAAATCAAACCCAAATCTAGGTTTTTCTCAAACCTAAATAACTCCTCCGACACCACTGAAACACAACAAAAGAGAAACTAAATCACAATCCAACAAAAAAACCTCGAATACACGCATTCAAATTTCACCAAATCAAGACAAATCACGTGGATGCGAATAAATCAAAAAGAAATAGTACCGAACCATCGGAGACTTGATCTATAGCAAATCATAACCCAAAATGCTAGCGAAATCAGCACAGAAACCAACGAGAACTGATTTAAAGAGAACCGAAAATTCTAGCTCCATCAAGACAAAGAAAAGTAGCAAAATCAGGACCAAGAATTAACCATAAAAGTTTGAAAAAACAGAACAAAAATGAAGCTCTAACCAGTGGCTAGCTCGTTCTTGAGAGAAACAGAGATTCTCCACAAACAACCACAAACAATTGCTCCATAAAAGAAACAAAGAAACAAAACCAAAAATAGAAGAAGTCGAACTTGGTGGAGAGACAAGCACCCGAGGCAATGGCAACGATTGTGACAGCGACGTGAGTGATGGTGGAGGTGATGGCGCCATGGATAGCGAGGATAACACCAGAAGAAGCAGCAGTGATGGCGTTTAAAGAAACAGAAATTGTGAATCTGCTTCTGCTTAATTATCTAAGCTGGGAGACACCTAGATCTGGGTTTTTTTCAAACATGCATAAAGTAAAGCGCACGAACATTCATAGAAGCTGTGGAGATCTATGAATTGCAATGACATCTATTTTGTAGATCTCAAAACCCTATCTTTTAAACACCTAGATAAGAATCTTTAAAAAAAAAAAAACACAAACCTTTCTTTCTCTCCCGGCTAGAAGACAACCCTAGAACAAAATCCTCAGAGGCATAACTGTCGGCATGATCATGTCCCTCCCCAGGCGAACCTGATCCATTTGAGTTATGCGCACTGGAATTTGACCCAGCATATTGGCGCCCTTTCGAATCAACCCATCCGTCAAGCGCACCCTAACGAGCTTGACCCCGCAATTGGGGCATGTCTTGGAGTTGTGGCTGCAATGCGAGCAGCACCGGCTCATTTTTGGGTCCAGGCTCGGCAGATTGAGGAAGGGGCAGAGGGATGAGAGAGAAGAAGAAAGGAAGAAGAAGAATAATAATAATATAATAATAAATTATGTGGGTTTTTATTTAAATAAGAAAAAAATGTCACATGTAAAAACAAAAATGTCATCTCATCAAATAACGTTACATTGGTTTTCCACGTAATTATTAATTTTTTTTAAATGTAATTTTGTGACAAGATAACGTGCCACTTGTCATTTAACTGACAGAATGACCATTTTGGTACCGAAAATGAAAGTTTGAGAATAATTTTGGTACCTTTTAAAGTTGAGGGACAATTTTAGTACCAAAGTGGATAGTTGAGGGACCAAAATGGTACTTAAACCTATATTTTATAATTTAATACAACATAAATTATAAAATAAATTTTCAAATAAAAATAAAAATTGTAATTAGAGTTAGTACTTATTTGTCTTTTTTTTAAAAGTTTAAGAGGAAAATTATTTTAAGAATTATATTATTTTTATAAAACACTATGAGAAAGGATTAAAAATACTCTAATTTATGTTTTAAAAATAAGATATTTTAGTCATTTTAAATTAAAATTTGTTAAAATAATATGGTTTAAAGATAATTTTCTTCATAATCTTTAGAAGATAAAGCGAATAGATAATATTTTCATCAAAATTTTACAATTTAAATTACAGTAAACTCTTTCTATAAGAAAAAATTACATTAAACTCTAAAATATAAATAATTAGAGGTTAAATCTCAATTTGGTTCCTCAACTATTATATAAACTCTGAAGTTGTTCTTAAACTAAAAAAATCCCTAATTTAGTCTTTAAAATTTATATATTTAGTTCCAAATTTATCCTTTCATTCAAAAACAATTTACATGTCTTATTACCAACGTGACACATGATCGTCATATAATGACCTTCTGCCATCAACTAACGAACACATAACCCTTTTTTTTTTCTAATGAAATGATCAAAATTTGGGGCCAAATTTGAAAATTTTAAGGACCAAATCAAAACTTTTTTTAGTATAGGGACCAAATTAGGAGTTCATACAATAGTTAAGGAACCAAATTAAGAATTTAACCATAATTAAATTAGGAGGGGAAGACTCGAGCCTTATCGAGCTTAATGGTTTTAATTGTGCAATCAAGAACACGGATTCACATTAGTTTTATCATTCATGAAAAAAAAAAAAAAAACAGATATTTGGCAAGGAGTAGAAGAAAGGAAAAAATCTTCCCGTTGCCTTTTCAGAGACAGAGACTACGGACCAGAAAATTAACACGCAGACAGTAGCAATGGCTCTCCTCTTCACTTCACCATCTTCCCTCTTCCGCCCCCAGAATCCTAAATTATCACATTCTTCCTCCGTAAAACCTTTGTCTCTCTGCAGTTTCTCCTTCTCCCTCCCCACCAGGCCCCGCAAAGGTCTCGGACTCTCCTCCCTCGTTTCTCTCGCCAGCTCCCAACGCGACCCCATTCCGGACCCAGACGAGGAGCCAAACGACACTTCATCGGTGCCCCAGGCTAGCATCACTGACGAATGGGGCGAGAAATCGGATGCAGGGCCGGAACCCGAACCAACGAAGCTGGCAGACTCGGACCCTTCCAAGGATGAGGACGAGTGGGGGGAGCAGTATGCGAGTACGGGAAATGGTAGCCCTGCCCAAGAGGGTACGACCAAGGAGGTTGTAGATGATAAAGTTGGGGATTTGAAGAGGTGCTTGGTGGATACGGTATATGGGACGGAGCTCGGGTTTCGGGCAGGGCCAGAGGTACGTGGTGAGGTTTTGGAGCTGGTTAATCAGTTGGAAGCGCTCAATCCGACCCCGGCCCCGGTGGAGGCACCGCAGCTTCTTGATGGCAACTGGGTTCTGCTGTGAGAGCTTCTCTGTTTTTGCCTTTAATTTTGAGCTTCTTTGTGTGCATTTTTCTGAATGTGATTGTTAGTGTTTAGATGGATGTTCTTGGATAGAAAGATGAGGAATTTCAGGTGCAAATTGAAACTTTCGCCTCTTTTTGCTCTTTGTTTTTGGTATTATGGGTGAAACCAGATTCCTTACTTTAGAAAATGCAAATGTATTATGCGGGCTAAGGAATTGAACCTATCTTTGCCTCTTTTTCATATTGGTTGATAAAAGGAGTTGTTTCGAGGTAAGAGGCCCATAAGCAAAATCAAATTTAGTTACCGGTTGACATGTTCCATAAACACTCTGAGTAGCAATAAGCTGGGCAAAATATGGGTTGGGATGGGGGTGAGTTGTTCTAGATGAACTCCAAAAGGACCAAAACATTATCTCTTCCCACATTACAATCCAGTTAGTGAGGTGGGTGCTACCGTGATTTAATGAGGAATAAGTCTTCTTAGGTTCTTCAAATCAATCAATCTTGGGTCAAGCATTATGGGGTATGGTTTAGAAGTTGCTGATATGGAGATAGGTGGGAGTTATCTTGATGTTTTGAGTTGGTGGTTGTTTAAGATGCATTTTCCTCCCAGAGTAGTACCAGATTAACAGTTGTCCTTCACCCAACAAAACTGGCTGTGGAAGAACTGGTTGTCACGGTGACTGTCTAGACTCGACTTGGAACTAGGGTTCATCAGGTTTATGTTCATGTATTTGACCATTTTACAACTAGGCCAAAGGTGACTCAAGTTGGAAGATGGTTATTGATTGATAAGCTATAGTGATATGGAAGTCAGAGAACATCAATTTGCTTTCAAATGGATATTTTCTTGACAGAAAAAATTTAGAGGATTTAATTTAACTGGAAGTACATTCCTTTTTTCTGACATGCATCAACATAAGACCTGCATCGTTACTTCTCTATTAGGTTTGCTTGAATGAACAATTTGCAGCAAATTTTGCCATCATAGATGATACTATTTCAGTAGCACAATTTATCTGATCTCACCTTTGATTCCAATCTGTTATTGATCAGGTATACTGCATTTTCTGAGCTGTTGCCTCTTCTAGCGACGGGTTCAATCCCATTTTTAAAGGTGGAAAGTATATCCCAAGCAATTGACTCTAGCAATCTCACAATTGTAAACTCCACCACGTTGTCCAATCCTTTTGCAACATTCTCTTTCAGTGCATCTGCTGCATTCGAAGTCAGAAGTCCCACAAGAATACAGGTAAATCATAGAATATACTTAATAATTACATATGTATACGATATATGCAAGGCAGACCTTTTTGTTGCTTCAGTGGATAGCTATAAGACCGTGGTTCGCTGCAGGGAAATTGACAACTTTATAATCTAATAATTTTGAAAGTACTGCTTGCATGAGAAAATAAGCACTCTTACATCAACTACAAATCTATTAGAGAAAGGAAGCATCTAGGGACAGTTTTTAAATTGTCATTTACAGTCAAACCCTTAGCATAACATTGTTTAGAATAAATGAGTGTCAAACCATACTAATTTAGTTTCCAATACGTGCAGGTGGAATTTAAGGAAGGTACTCTAAAACCCCCAGAGATCAAACCAACAGTTGACCTTCCAGAAGATATAGATGTTTTTGGACAGAAAATCAGTTTGTCACCAGCACAACAATCTCTTAGACCGGTGGAGGATGTGGTGGCAAATATTTCAAGAGCCATTTCTGGTCAGCCACCTCTCAAGCTTCCAATTCCGGGCAACCGGACAAAGTCTTGGCTTCTTATTACGTATCTGGACAAGGATCTTCGTATCTCAAGAGGAGATGGTGGTCTTTTTGTGCTCGTTAAAGAAGGGAGTCCTCTCCTATGTCAGTAGTCAAGCTACATTTAAGCTTATTACATTTAGGACATATTCATACACAACTTTTCACCTTTTTTTTCTCTTGTACTGTGAGTAGCCAAGCTACATGATCTTCTCTTTTTGTTTTTACTGGCTGAAGGGGAAATTTGAATTACTACGACTTTGTATATCAATGGTTAGTTTGGTCATGGAAGAACTTATTTTATAAGTTAGAGTTTAATCAAATTGATATCTGCTCGTCAACTTTATAACTTTGATCAGGTCAAGGGCATGTTGTGGCTCTCCAGGTCTCAGATTCAAATCTTTTCCTCAATATTACTTTTTGGCCATTGTTGACATTTTCTTTTCAATAAAATCCTTCAAAATATATATACTCCCTCAGTCTCAACCTCATAATAATGGTTATTTTTTAATTTTTTTTAAATTAAGATTTTAAGAGTTATTTATATATTTATTTATATTATCTTTACAACAACAAAAATTTTAATAAAATAAATAATTAAAATAAATAAATATTGATGGAGTTGAAGTAAAAAAAATATTTACATATTTTAAGAAAGAGAAAATGACTATTCTGGAATGAACAACAAGGCTTCAACTTAAAATAAAAACAAAAAGAAAAAAAAAAGCACAAAATCTAATGACTCACTTAGGTCCATTTAATGTCATAATAATAATTTTTCCTAAAAAAAAATGTCATAATAATAATTAAAATTTGAATCATAACATTGTTATATTACAATTCCCCATTCCCTAGCTTAAATTGTACTTGTTAAAATTATTATTATTATTTTTTTTTTTAAAAAAAAAAAGGACTTCAACTTGTTAATTATCATGTCCAAACGTGATATCGCACCTCATGTTTTCAATTCTTCATCTTCTAGACCATGACATGGCATAATAGGATTGGTCTATGCTGGCAAAAAGGTTGACGAAGTCTAGCCAGCATGAAAGAGGTGGCACCAATCACGGAATTACTGCCATTTCCTCACAATTTTTTCCTTTGCTAATTGTCTGTGGCAAAATTGATGAGAAAAAAAAATCCAATTCCAGGGTTTTCAGAATTTCCAATCCCATAAATGATGTCTCTCTCTTTGGTGTTGACATTCCATCCACATTTTTAAAATCTCCTGTTAAAAAAGTCTACACATCCAGTCCCATATTCAGAGACAGAAACATCACCAATTCTCCTTCCATGTTCTTCCGTCTGTGATCCGGTATTTGGAATCGTCAATTTTTTATCCGATTTCGAATGCAATCTTGGACCCCCTTTTTTTTTCTTTTTTTCTTTTTTGGGGTTTGAGAGCAAATCTCAAAAGAATTTGATTGATGGATGCTCTGTTTTTTCTTTTTTAGAGTATTGATTTAATATTAAAAGGAAGAACTTGGAGCAAAATCTTTAGATTTAGGGGTAGACGAAGAAAGGATTGTGATGGATAGGAGTGGTAAGCAACCAGTAAAGCTAGATGATGAGCAAATTGCTGAATTGCGTGAAATTTTCCGTTCTTTTGACCGGAACAACGACGGGAGCCTAACGCAGCTTGAGCTTGGCTCGCTTCTGCGATCTCTGGGGCTAAAACCTAGCCCGGACCAGCTGGATGCTCTGATCCAGAAGGTGGACACAAACAACAATGGTCTCGTGGAGTTCTCGGAGTTCATAGCGCTGGTGGCACCCGAGCTGCTGCCGGAGAAGTCACCGTACAGTGAGGAGCAGTTGAAGCAGCTGTTTAGGATGTTTGATAGGGATGGAAATGGTTTCATTACCGCGGCAGAGTTGGCGCATTCGATGGCGAAACTAGGCCATGCTCTGACGGCGGAGGAGCTCACCGGGATGATCAAGGAGGCGGACACGGACGGAGATGGGATGATCAGTTTCCAGGAGTTCTCTCAGGCAATTTCCACTGCTGCTTTTGATAATTCTTGGACTTAGAATGCAACTTTTGAGGTATGTCAGTTATTTGCTAGTTGATGATATATACCTGCAATATAAATATAATATTTTTATACAATTTTTATAAGTTTTTAAATGAGTAGATGCATTCAATATTATAAGTTAACAAGTTAATTTATTTAAGTAACACTTAAGATGTTAATGACCTGAACAACTAAATGATTATCTCTTTTTATGAGTAAAAAATTTTAAATTTGAGTTACATGATATGCGGGTGGGGTGACATAAGGGACGAGAGATTGTTACATTCCATTGTATAATCAAAATTTTAAAAATAATAAAAAAATGTAAGATTGTATTAAAATGTAGTAAAAAAGTTATTTTTAAATCATATTTCATATAAAAGTAAGTTACATATTCTTAGATTTAAGTATAAAAATACTAATGAAATTTATTAAATACTCTTCATGAATCAATAAAGAAGTAAAATTCATTAAGGTGTTTACATAATTTTATGGCATTCTTGCGCTCTTTTCATGTTGAACTAAAAATCACTCTTAATTTACGCTTTGTTTTATCATCATGCAGGCTTGCAACATAGATGAGTTTCTAACAAGACTTGAGACATGGCGATGGCCAGTATCTTGAAGGTGATTATCATTATATAGGGATCGGTTTCAGATAAACAAATGTTTTAAATCTTGGCCCCCTTTTTTTGGCTGAAGAGGATTTGTATCAAGTTCTTAGGAGTTGGTTTCTGTTTTAGTAGATCTTCCAGTCTAAAAATGGTCAGGTTTGTTCATTTTGCTTCTCGGGAACTCATGTTAAAATTCAAATAAATTCTTTTAATCAGTAGCTTTGTTCCATACTTTCTGAGTTTCTGCTAATCTGATATTTTGTCCATTATGGAAGACCTCATTCTTGCTGTTAATATTCAAAAGATAGTTTAAAGCTTCCACTAAAACACACCACAAACAGACTATCTCCTGCTTGACCAAGGTTGGTTTCATCTTTTAACCATAAACTTAAAAGAAGAAATAGAAAACTCAGGGCCTTAATTGGATTAAGAATGAAGATACAGGGTTCCATGGATTTAATTGGATTTACAGCTGAAAGCATGTAGTCAGAATATCACTGGTGGTGGCACAGAAACACAATCTAGTCGGCTGCCCACTTGCAAAAAACCGACAATCGAGTCTTAAATAGAATGTCAAAAAGAAATGGTTCATGAATCGAAATAGTATTGCCATCATGCCTTCTTCTTTTTGGACTTAAGCACCACGAACCCAACAAAGATGGACAGCAAACATAGAAGCACCACACCGGCAAACACAGGTATCAGTATGGCATACTCTTGAGGTAGGAAATACTTGTGTATGAAATGATCACTCTCTACAAATGGCTGAAAGACCGTAGAAGTTAAAGTCGACGGTCATACGTGAGTCCATAATGAGGAAGTAAAATAGTTTATAGGGAAGTAACTAACCAGGATGATCACCCAAAATGTATAGTAAGTAAATATGAATATGCTGATAAATGACAATAGGAAGCCAACTGCTCGATCTGCCAACTCCATTTCAGTATCTCCTGCTCTTATTACCTGCTAACCCATGAGTATGCAATTAGCTTCTTCGTACAGGAAGAAGTGTGTAGACAACATTTTGTTGAATTAAGTGCACGCATCACATTATTCATTCACAGTCATACACCGCACATATAGGAAAAGAATCTATCCAGAACATATCAAGAAAATGTTCCTTGTACGTTGTATACACTCATATAGCTCGGACATCATCTAAGTTCTAACACCACAGTTCAGGTGATATCGATGGACCACAAATAAGTAATGCATGCAATAGGAATTAGGAAAACAATATACAAAGAAAAGTAATAAGAGCATCTCAAAGTTGCCAATGATCTAAATAACTCAGTGGTCATCTCATTTCGCTGGAAGTAAGAGGTTCTAAGTTCGAATCGCCTAGCATGCTGGTGGGATAAGATAAGGGATGAGAAATGGTTGTCTCCCACTGTGGAACCATGATGATAGAAAGAAAGAAAGAAAGAAAAAAAAAGAGCATCTCAAAGTAGATCACAGGTTTAAGCTAATCCTAATGAAGCCATCTATAATGAATAACCTTACTACAGCCAAACAGAATAGAAACTATTGAGTGGAAATAGCTCGGTTTTCCTAAGCAAAATCTCAAGTTTGAGTGTTGTAAATGTAGAGATAAGCACTGGGTGAGTCTTTTCCCTTACGGGATCTGTCCTGACCCGAGTCTAAATTAGTTGCAACCAATATCCCTTCTGGATTGGAGAATTAGTAGAAAAAAAAAAAATATGGTTTAGATGAAACTGAACCAAATAATTTGGGCAGGGAATCGATTCTCAATCTCCACCACTGCCGCTCTGCCCCAACCACCACTCCGACCTTCCCATATCTCAAATCCAGGGTGATCCTCCCCGATTTTATACTAATTCTCACTCACCCAAACGAGAAAGAAACAATTAAGATTACACGATCTCTGCAATTTCCCTCAGAGCTAACATACAATCATTGATCTAACGGTAATTCAATGATACATCTAAAGTACAATTTTGCGGTTCAAATCCAATCCAGATAGAAAAAGGAAGGAAAGTAATAGTGTCAGTCCGATTCTTATGTATCTCATCGATCTCATGCAGTCAAGATTAGACAAAACTACGAGGTGTTAGATTCTTCGTACCTGGTTCGACGAGGAAACATGAAAAGGACTTCCGGCGGAGAAGACTGAGGTTTGAGGAAGGATTTGATTTTCGACTTTCTTTAGTTTTTTAACTTCTGGGTTTTGGCTTTAGATGTTGAAGACAATACCAGAACCAGATACCCGACCCGGGAAACCGCCAATGTAATCTATTGAGATTGGGCTTGGAATCTAATGCGTCACTTTTTGGGCTTGAGATCTACTTTTAAAGTTTAAACATTTCATATTTGGCATTTTTCAGAATCTATATTTATTTAACAGATTTGGCACTTACAAAAAAAAAAAATGAAAAATCATTAGAAATAGTGTACTAGGGTTCAGTATTTTACAATTTTATTTATAACATTTTGTCATAATTAAATTTATCCGTGATATAAAGATAATTTTTTTGTATAATTTTTATATATTATTAAATAAATAAATGCATTTAATATTATAAGTCTCAAATGAATAAAAAAAATTAATTATTTAAATAACTCATAAAGTTATACAAAAAAATTATATAAAAATATTATTCCTAAATCATTTTCTTTCGTTAAATTACTATTAATTCTAACTAATCTAAAAGAAAAAAGGAAAAAAAGAAAAAGGCTGGCATCAACCAAAAAGAGCACCACAAAATAATTCTTCCCAGATTTATTAACATCATTTGTGATATCAAGAATGAGAGTATAAACAAAAGGAAACAAATCACAATGAAAAATAATGAGAAGCTTTCAGTCAAGTTTTTATAGGTCCCTCGATTTTGCCTCTTTCATATATGTATATATCTTCAACACTCCACCATGGCAAACAGGATAAATCTTCCCCTTTAGTTTTGTAGCATCCATTGCATGATGTCCTTCCGAATAACACCCTCAAAGCTACCTCTACTAGTGTAGCTCAACCTTGATGCATCAGGTCTGCTGATGTACAAATGCCTATACTGGGTCATAGTTCCAGTGGGCCTTGTTGGTCGCATCATCTTTGCAATGGTAGGAAATGAATTAGACCACATGCTTGTCGATGAGCTAAAAAGATGCCTGTTGGATTCGTTGTTTCTTGATGTTGGGATGCTACCAGGATTCTTCACGTGGGATGAGTCTGTCACCTGCTTTGTCAGGTTCGTGTTTGCACTAGTAGCTCCATGTGGTGGTTTCTCAGGGTGCCCACGGATCTGAGCTGATGGTTTCATCCTGTCCAGCCACCGCAGTATACGGTTACCAACACTTCTCCCAACTTCCAAGTCTCCCTGCTGTATGTTCTTGTGAACCTTGAGCGCTACATCAAATACAGTGCGTGTCCGTCTGGCAAAGGGGAAAAACAAACCATTTAAGATAAAAATATCTCTCAAATTTTGCAATGGATTTGGGATATAAGTCAATCCCAATCCTTTCCACGGGTTTGCATTGTTTTATGTGTAATCCATTCACAGATTCAATAGTCTCTTTCCAATTGAGCAATTAGTCAACAACCCCAGAATTGAGACACTGTTTGATTATGATGCACAAAGCAAATTTTACAAGAAAGACATTCATTTGATGTCCATAGCCTGAAAACTCAACACTAAGTTGAAGCTAACTTCCTAACCCCATAAATCATTACGGAACTACTTCGCAGCATATACAATGATCAATCAACATCTAAACAAACGCAAATAAGAATTGACCCTACCCATGCTACATGTATACACAGTCCTACTCCAGGAAAACCAGAGAACCCCTCTCAATCTAGAGTTATAACATGCCAAACACAATATCCAATTCCCATACTGGAATTAATGGATTATCATTTACAACAACTCAATCAATCAATCAATCCGAAATGATTAAATTTTAAAACGAATTTCTGTAAAGAAAAACAGCAGGACGACATAAAAAATCAATCAAAAACAGGAATGCGACAGCGCACCTCTGAACGAATTGGCGGATCTTGAGACGCTTAGGGCTGATAATGCGGCGTTGAATCCTCAAAGCGAGCCTGTAAGTCCGTTTAAGCCCCAGGAAATACGCCGTCCCCAACGTGATCTCCCACAGCACCATTTCTCGGCCTCCCTCGTGTCTTTCTAGAACGTTCTTCTCTCCCCCCCCTCTTGCCGTCGTTTGCTTCCGTTTCTCAGTGCCCTTTCTGCTCCGAATATTTTATTCAGTCTCCGAAACCATGTTTCGTTCCGAGCAAGTAAGAAATCTATGGGCAATTTATGGGAGCCGCCAGAGATTTCGACTTTCGACTCCGGTCCGGTGACTTTTCTTTTTTTTTTTTTTTCATTCTCTTCTTGCCTTGCTACCCAAGTGCTGGGATCACCGTTCCGGGAAATCATCGTAACCGTTCATGTCTTTTTAACACGATCTGTACCGTTGCTTCATTCGGTAATGGGCTTTACTGTTTGCTCCGCAGTCTTAAGCAAGATTGAGAAAATGTGTTGGGCTGATCTGCCCATTTTGAAATTTATTTTGGGTTCACTGGTCCGGAGAGAATGACCGGCCCAAAAGAAGGTAAAAAATTTAAGTTTCCTTTTGTATAGTTTTGAGTTTTTATATATATTTAATATTTAATAATTATTATTATACTTAAAAATCAGAATTTATTAAATTTAACCTAAATATAATAGGTTAAATGTAAATTTTAGTCTCTCAACTTCAAAGTTTTGCACATCCCTTCCATTAACTATGAAAAATATAATTTTTTTAGTTATTTTGTTAGTTTGTTAAGTTTGTACACATCTTTAGTGTTTTAACTTTAAGATTTTACATAATTTTTGTCTCTTAACTTAAAAGTTTGAAAACTAAAAATGTACATGTATAGATAAAATTAATAGATTAATTGATAAAATGACTAAAAAAAGTACATATTTCATAATTTGGGGATAAAAAATGCATAAAAGAAGTTAAATGACAAAAAACTATACAAAAACCCAAAGTTAAAGGACCAAAATTAATAATTAACCAATATAATATTAGTTACCATGCTATATTAAAAATGAAAAAAAAAAAAAAAATCAAAACTATACTTAGCTGAGTCTTAAGAAAACTCTGGTTTGGTTACTTCACACATTAATTTTTTTTGTGATTAGTGGTTTCTAGTGAAAGATTCTATATTATACTTTACTTACAAACTGGATGAGCTCAAAGTTAAAATATATGATTGCACTTACCAACTGTTCGATTATTTTTAAGTGTTATTCTTATTCCTAAAGACTTCTCCAGAAGGCTAATGAGGCCAACTTGCCTGTCCCTGTTTAAACTATACAAAGCTGAGCTCTCTTTTAAGTAGTAGTTGAGACTTGACATGGAAAGTGTAAGGTCCTGTTTGGTTTGGGGGGCAGGGGTTAAGAGGGGATTCTCCCTCTCTTTTTTTTAATCTCAAAATAATAATTATTTTTTATTTTAAATTAATTATTAATTTTTATTTTAAAGTAATTATATAATTTTTTACTTTAATTTTATTATTCATAAATTTTTTATTTTTTCTAAAAAAAAGGAGTTGTTTTGAAACATAAAAAGTACTTTAATATATATCTAATTGGGAGAAAGAGATACTTCCATTTGGCTTCACTTACTTTTATTTCCCTTATCTCAAATGAGACAAGTTTAAACAAACAATATTCAATAAAATAATTAAAATTTAAAAGTTTAATGATAGCATAATAAAACAAATTCAATAGATAATAGTTGTTTCTACCAAAAAAAAAAAAAGATAATAGTTGTTGGATAATAGATTTTTGGTCCAACGAATAATAAAAAACAATAGTTGTTATTTGTATAATTTAGATTATATAAGAAGAAGAGTTATTAGTAGTTATTTTATAAGAACAAAAATACATTACTTTTAAGTATAAGTGAAGGGAGTCATGATTCATTTATATATAATTTATAGGCACTATTATTTATATGAAAATTTGATCATTTAACATTTTACTATAAATGATCAAGATTTATTTAATTTTTATATTATTTTTAGAAGTAATTATTTTTTTATTTAAAAAATAGTGATAAATTTTAATAATTCTTAATAAAAAATTGAACGATTAAGATTTTGTGTAAGTAATGTATCTAATTATAATAATTATGTGTAACTATGTCCTAACTTATAAGTAGATATAAACTAAGTTGGATAATTTTATTTTAATTTTTTATCAGCTAATTTTACTACTTTTTTATCTTTATATTTTATTTTTTTATTTTTTGTTTTAAGATAGCTTTGATAGTGCTTTTTCACAAGCATATGTAGCAACAATCCAAACCAAACCCTTAACTTGATAATTTTGGATAAGGTTTTGGAGTTTTAAAGTGCTATTATGTGCCATTTTAAATTTAATTTTACATTAATTTTTGTTTAGTTTATAACAGTAATCCCGTGGTTAATTTGTACCCTAAATTTCAATAAACAAATAAAGTAATGCCCATCACTAGTGAGATTATGACTACATTCAACTTTATTAGAACTACACAATTTAATTGTTGTTTTATTAGATTATTATTTTTTAAGTAATTAATTATAATATGTAAAAATATTTATTTATAAATTAATTTTAATATATTAAATAATAAATATTAATTATTTTATTAATTATAAATTATTTTTGATAATTAAATTAAAATAAAAATTTAATTATCTATATGAACATAAGAAATTCGAGTGTAAGAAATAGACAATAACTACAGGCCCGATCATTTCTGTGCTTGCCCACCCCCCAACATTTCATTTTATCGTATCCAATACAATTGTCTGCTTTGGAAAACAAGTTTTCTTTTTGAAAGGTACTTGAGAAAATTATCGTAGTACCGAATAAAGCAAAAAGCGCAATTAAAGTGGTAAAGAATAATGTCATTTCCTTTTTGAATTTTAAAAAAATTCATAAAAATTCTCAAAGATTAATTAATCGTCAAATAATTAAATACGGACTGAGACTGACAATTAGTAGTAAACAAGGAAAAATCGGAAAAATAAAAAATAAAAATTGAATTCCCATTAAAGCCCATAAGCTTCATTTTCAGCAACCAAACCCCACCCTTTGTCTACCCTTCTCTCTCTCTTTCTCTCTAACATGCAGAGACAATCTCTTGGCTCTCCAGTCTCCAAGCTCCACAGCCATGGAGGAGACGATACTATTGTAGCGGAAGATCCGAGACGCAGAGTTGCGGAAGACGACGACGACGACGGCGGCGAGCGCAAAGCAACCAAGCCTCGCCGGTTGTCGTTCTCGCCGTCGTCTTCTCCACCGTCGCCGTCGGCTTCCAGGCCTGAGAAGTTTATTCACCTCATTCCGGTTCTCACTCTTCTCTGCTTCCTCATCCTCTATCTCTCTTCTCACGCTCCATCTCAATCAGGTATGTGTGTTCAAAATCTACTAGGCATCATTTTTCAAAGGAGATTTGATTCTTACCATTGACTTTTTTGTTTTGTTTTGATTTTTTTTGGTTTAGATTTGGCTCATTTTGCTCAATTCAAGCGCTCCTCTAAGCAGCTAGGTATAATGCAGCTTCAATTCCAGTTTATTTTCTATCATTTTTCCCGCTGATTTCAGATTTTCAGTATTTCTTGCCTTCTTTTGTTGTTTGTTTTTGATTTTTATTTTTTCTGCTCTGTAGATTCAAGTGATGAAATCGGCGATGCCAGTGAATTTGTTGAGCTCCGTAAAGGAGATATTCTGGCGATTAGAAGCCTGAGGAATCTGCAGGTGCTTGAAAAGCAAACGCCGAAATCCAGGCCTCACCGAAAAATTGCCGACTTTTAAGCCGCGTCTTCGGGTCATATTTCTCCTTTTTCTTCATGCTCTCTCTCTCCTATTTCTCGCCTTCTTCCCAGGGCTAACCATATTTGCTCACGCGCCGCTGCTACTTCCACGCGCGTGACATATTTTGTTCCATTCTTTTGCACGTGTAAATCAAAAATCCATGGTAATTTGTTTCCTTAAGGACCGAGCAAGCGTATATCTCGCTGGCGCCTTCATGTGTGGCGATGTTCAGTTGATTTATCCTCTTCTTCAATGAGATAATTATTTCCTTCCCAAAAAAAAAAACAAAAAAGTCAATTTCTATTATTTCACAATATACAGCTAATAATTAGCTAAACATGAAAAAATAAAAATAAAAATAAAATCTGTTGCAGGCTAGAGTGCGCCAATTGTGTGGCGTAACTGCGCAAGTTCCGTATGGGTGGTGCTAGCATGCGCTGGCTGGTACTATATGATGGAATCCAGCTGGAAATTTGTACCGTTACAACACCTCGGGTTGCGGTTTGGGTTTTCTTAGCCTGAAAAAAGTTGTACCGATCCTTTTAGTACTCTATGTATCCTCCCATTCAGTTTTTCCAGGGTGTATTATTTTTTTTAAATAATTATTTTTTAAGTCACATGTGTATGTATGATGTATATAAATCAAATTTATAAAATTTTATGAAAAAAATATATGTAGATATTTAAATTAATGTTAATTTATATATATTTAATAATAAAAAATATTTTTAATTTATATGCTAAAAATATATTTTAAAAATATATTATTAAAATTTATATTACTTTTATTTTTAATTTATATTTTTAAGGCACATAATACAAAAAAAATTTAAATTTATTTTTTTTGACCTTTTTATAGTACGGTAATATGAAATATGAAGTTTAATATAGGCTCTTTTTGGGGGGATAAAAATTGTCCATGGAATAGAACCATTTCGTATTTACTTGAGTAGGTACAATGTTGTTTAGTTATTACCTCTCTGCCTTAAATCAGGATTTGACAAAAAAAGAAATGATAAAAATAAAAGGAAAAAAAAAGGATTAATGTTGATGTGACATATTGACATATATACTAACTTTGTTGTTTAATCCGAAAACAATAAAATAAAAAAATAAAAAGAAGAAAAAGAATGATCGCAAAGACTGCAGAGAGTGCGGGTGATTTTTGGTAAAAAGAGAATGCGGTTTGATGATGATGGTGATGGTGATAACCACGTGTTGGGCCCTACAGAGTTTTGTAGATTAACGCTTACGCCCTAGCCGAGAATGGCTATTGTCAGCTTAGAACGGCAAAAACCCTTCTTAAGCCCCTATACTTGTCTCAAATTAGTATTTAAACCCTTATACTAAAAATGATGCAAGTAAGCTCTTTAGCTTTTCAAATGGTGCAGATAAGCTCTTATCACTAACAGCCCAAATAGCTGTGATTTGACTTGTACTAAATTTGTTTGTTCTATTTTACATAGGTGTAAATACTAATGTAGCACTATTCCATGTAGATGTAGATGAATTTTTTTTGTTGCGTTGGTTTTAATAATTTTCTATCATGGCACCTGGCCCTTGAGGCCTAATGGCAATAGCTACTCGGTGCATTCCCCCTCCTCCGGGTTGGGTTTGAAACCCACCCCTTGCAAATATGTTCAAAAAATAATAATAATAATTTTCTATCATGTATTTTAACTAAATTTAAAGTTTAATCTTTGATATTTAATAAAGTTTTGTTATATATGTTAAAAAATACCATGAATTATGAACTCTAGGTTTTCTTTTTTGTTTTGTAATATATGAATCATGAACGATATATGAGATATTTTTAACTTTTGTTAATGAAAATGAGATTAAACTTTAAGTTCTAATTTATTTTAAGAAAGTTCTATTAAAAAAGTAAGATTAAGTTATCAACAACTTTTGATTTGCTTTGAATGAAAGAAAAATAGTCTCTTTTAAATAAAGTTTTAAATTTAAATATTAGAAATAGAAAGAGATGTATTAAAAAATTTTTTTTTATAGAGATTTGATTTAATTCAACTCTAAATTAATTGAATTAAAGAGAAGTACTAAAAAAAAATTTAGGACTAAGTTAAAAATATAAGTTTTTAAATTAAAAACTACTTAGAGTGTCAACACATTAATATAGGTATCGGCACTTCTGCTTCAAGTTTAACAAAACACATAGTTGTTGGAGGGCTTATTTATACCAATCGAGGAGTTAGAGGGTTTATTTACATCATTTTTAGTTTAAGGGTTTAAATACTAATTTAAGATGAGTTTAGAGGCTTAAGAAAGCTTTTTGCCGCTGAGAAAATATTGGAACCACTCAAATTTTTTTTTTTCAACCTGTCGGTGGTCGTTTTTAAAAATAGGACAGTGGAATAATTATTTTATTTTATTTTTTGATATAATTTTTACATGTCATTAAATGAATAGGTCTTACATAAATTAAATAAACAAATCATTTAAATTACATCTTAAATTACATTAAAAAAGGGTGCAAAAAGATAGTCTCAAAATTATTTATCTTAAAAATAGTATTATGTAAATCAAATTTTATTTGTTAGAGAATAAATATTAACTATCTTATTAATTTTTTTATTAAAAATTATTTTTTATTTTTTATTTTCAAATAATAATTATTATTTTTA